CCAAGTACCGCACCTGGCACCCCCTCGCGGTTGCGGGGCGGGTGCAAGGGGTACCCCCCAGGAGGTACCAGGTACCTGCAAAAAGTACCAACAAACAATCTCTAATTTTTACATTTTTTCAGGGAAACCTGACTTTTGAGGCTCTAAACATATTCTGCATGCACTAAAGATCTTTACAGGAAGTCATCCAGTCTGGCCAAAATGTTTATCCATTTTTCATGTGTACCAGTTTTTTTTTGGGATGAAAACTTGGTATGTACTCATTTTATTTGGCTGGGAGGCACAAAGCAAGCTTTTTACAGCCGAGAATTGTTTTGATGTGTTATTTTTCTGTATATACCTAGATATGCTTCTACCAAGAATCTCACTACTACTTTTATGCCAAACCACTTAGTTCATCTCCTCACTGGATTATAACCCTATTTATTTTCACCATCATATCACCATTGTAAGTTGGTACATCACTGCAGATATTCAGTCCCCATGTCCCTCACCATACTGGAAATGGTTGGCCATTACAGATACATGTACATTAAATTATACATTAACCCATGTCTCTTGGTGGACACAAAATGCCATGGGTTGGCATAGGGTAGGGGTTATTGAAGAGGGTTTTACACTAGATTTAATCATTTGGTTGACCAATTCACTATGTATTATTGTAGATTATGTACTAACAAGGGTTCATGTTACATCAGAGTTGAATTTATCAGTGATTTGTCATAAATTAATGAAACAATTGCCACAATACATGCCTTTTTGTGCATCAAAATTTTGGATTGGTAGACAGCTATTTGAATACCAATGTTCAATTTTTGTAAAGTTCAATCAAATTTTGCAGGTAATTTTAACAGATTTGGATTCATGAAACTTTTAACTTTCATAAATATGTTTTTGCTACCACACCTTCCTCAGGAGAAACTCAATACATTCCAGATGAGTAACCTTATTGATAGAAATAGACATTCATTGAAGCAGATATCCTTGGGCTGACTCAATGGTAAGCCTTTATATTTGAGCTTGTAAAATCAGGAACATTGAAAAGGGGATAGTCAGGATAAATTTTTAAATGAATATGAGACAGAGCTAGCTGGTCAGAGATAAAGATGAGTAGGCTTCTCATGGTATTTGTTGCTACACAGCTTGAAACAGGTAATACTGGTTACCCTATATGCTGTCCTTGCTGTTACATCCTTTTCAGCCCCTCTTCAGAATAAGTATACATTTGTCATGTTTTGATTCATTGTATCCATGTCAAATTTTGAATCCAGATGTATTAAAAACATCATATACCTCAAATTCAAATGCATTAAAACCATTGATTACACCTTAAACTGATGATTTTTCAAGAAATATTTTCAACCTGTTTCATTTCTTGATGAGACTTGACAAATTCCTGTTAACCATGCGAGAATGGATTCCAAGAGCTAGAAATAACAGAATTTTGAGCTCACCAAACATACTGAATGCTTCTTCTGAAAAATATTTGATCTTCAAAGGTTTTGAAAACACAAGGTTGAAGAATAGCTGTCTGTTCAAAGCCAGAGTTCCCATACCTGTAATCTTTATGTTCAGACTGACTTGGTCCAAGCTTTTACTCCCCTACATTCCCTTCATGGTAATATCTCTCTCAAAATGTAACAGTAATCCCATGCCAGGTCTGCCAACAGAAGGAATATCAGCATGGGTACCTGGTGCTCACATCTTCAAGGGGCTCCAAACACACCATGAAGAGATGCTCAAATTTAATCCAGATGAATGGAATGATTGGACTTCAGAGCCTCACAATGATTTTGACTGGACAGGTCCATCTCAAATTACACCACCACAAGCTCAGATCAATCAAAATATAGGTAAAACCCAATTTTTGATACTTCAGGATTGTGCAGCTAAACCATTGCTAAATTTGGCTTTGTCTTTGCTGAAAAGATTCTCATACAACATCCTATGATTGTGCAGAAAGTCAGTGTACTCTAATTATCATTTGAATTTGATTAAATTGATCATGGCTAATAATGTTATCATATTAGTTACAACATGTTCCCAATTGGAGACAGGTGATTTGGATAGAAAGTATGATTCAACAAATTTCAATCAATCAAATTTGGTTCAATTCCAATCAAGGGCAAATTCTGGATCTTCAAAGGAAGGGCAGTATAGGCCAAACCAGAATCAACATGAAGGTAAGCAGAATGTCTACCCAAGGCTGATCAGTGTATTAAACTGTCAAAATAACCACTTGAAAATTTATATAAGATGAGAAATTGGAATCAAGAAAAGCACACATGGAATATCCTCAACCTGAAACCATGTCAGAGAAATTGCATAATCCTGGCCGATTTCATCAACTAGAAAATGATGCAAGAGTTCCAGAAGAAAGTGAGAATGTCAAGTCCCCAAAGAAAACAGTCCACCTTGAAAATTACAGCACCCAAACAAAAATGGATTTAAAGGCTTCTACTAGGGACTTCTTTGTTTACATTGGAAGGAACAAAATAAATTGTGTTCTTGAAAACCCAAATTTGAGCATTTATATAGAGAAATTTTTGGAAAGATATGAAAGTAAAAAAATTGATGAAGAAGAGATAGAAAAAGATGTTGTTTTTAACTGCAATGATCTCCCCATTGGAATTCTTGGAGGTATCCTTGCTCCTGTTGATGAGTCAGGCCGCAAAAGAGTCCACAAAAATGTCATCAGAAGTCGTATGAGAAGATTGTTTGGTTGGATTATTTTTATAAACACTGCTATATTGAAAAACTTAGTCCCAGAATCACTCCTAAAGAACAGAAATCTTTCACATGATGCAATAATTGATTGGCTACTGAATGAACTGTTTTCACCCAAATCTGGCCTTCCAGTTTTTGGTCCAATTTTGAAAAAAAATCAAGCAGATGAATTAGTTTTCAAAGAAACTCAAGTGAATTTGATTGTTTATCTATCAAGTTACAAATCCCATGAGCTTGAACTTTCAAAATCATGGGATTTAACTTTTCAATGGTATCAATTATACCACACTGAAATCTTCAATTTTTTGAAAAGATTTATTGAAGAAGATGGTTTTTCAATTGAAGATTTTTTAACTAAAGAAATTCTTCTAAAGCTGAAGAACATTCAAAAACCTGAACCATCAACTACCCCTAAAATTAAGGAATTAATAATTGATGTGGAGGTTCTACCTGATGATGTAATACCAAACAGCTTTTCTGATGAAGCTTCAAAATTAGGGATGGCAGAAAGTGGTTTCTCAGAGAAAGTGAAGGATATTTACCAAAATTCTTCATCACATCAGTCAAGAATAAAATTTGAAGACCTTCCAATTCATTTGGTTTGGAAGCCTTCACCCAATCATGCTGATTCAACTGTGGTTTCAAGGTATATCAGGATTACAAACAAGCTACAAAAGAGTATTGAAACCAGATTCTTGTTAAAAAAATTGAACAATCTCCAGTTATATTTAAGAAAAATATGTTCTCTTTTATGTCAACAGAACCAAACAGACAAATTTGCTCAACAAAATCAATCTTTACATGATTTTCCACAAGAATTCCTTTTTTGGTTTCATGATCAATTAATCAAACCTGAGAAGGGCCTTCCAGTTTTTGGAATAGTTGAAGATTTAAATCCACCTCTCAATGCATCACTGTTTGGACATATTCAAATTTCATTGATAATTTACTTCAGTAGCATTGCAGCTTTTAAGTATTTACCACATATCTCTATTCTCCTATTTAAAGATTGGTACCAAGCACATCACCAAGATCCAATATGTGGACATTTATTTAAAGATGAAAAATCAATTTTAAATACAATAATTGGTTTGTTAAGGAAGCATTCTGATAATTTCATAGAATTTAAATCAAGGGGTTTTGTACTTAAGAGGAAAAGTGATTCTTCAGATTTGAAAAAACCAATGAAACCCAAAAAAAGTAGAAGATTACCCAAAGTAAATCAGGTTCAGATTGCAAGTTACAACCTTTCTTGATTGTTTCGTTTGCATTTAATGTCATGTTCAATCATTATCTCTCATTGTTTTTATTTGAATTTTAAACCTTTGATCTCAGTAAGAGAGTTCCAAATTTAATATAATCATGTGTTATCACAAAAACAGGATATTAGCTTTGAGTCTGAGACAAGATATGTAGAAGTGTCCCATAGCCATTCATTCTGGCTTATCCCTTGACTCAACCCGACACAAACCCTTTCGCCCCCTCCCCCCTTCGCAAACAGAGGGACTGTCCTTTGTGCAAGTTTGTGTTGATTCGTTGATTCGACTCAAGCTTTGCCCTTAGACTTTTCTTGAGAAAAATTCTGCCTTTGCTTGCATCTTCATCACCTAATCTGCCAACGTGGGAGAAGTGTTGCACTGTAATTTGTAGACAGAGTGTCTTCCCACTAGACTCTAGTACATGAAGCAGGGGCTTTGACCTCATCGCAGATGTATTCAGGCTGTCTCAATGTGAAAGCTACAGTAATCTCGTCATTGAAAGAGAACCAAAAGTCTGGATGGTCAGCACAATGGTCTGAATGACGACAAGTCAGGGCTACCTAATCAAATATCACAATGAGTATACAGGCTGATGATCGGTCCTGTTGGCCGCCCGCCAGAGCTATTGCACTTGAACGTTGGAATTACGGTCGTCGCAGTCCCTCTCCGGAACCAATCTCCTTTCGCCACGACTTGCTTCATTGGAGCCATGACAGATATCAACCAAAGACGACATTCATGACATCCTACGCCTGACATTCAAATATGGAGTATGAATTCCCCTGATAAATACTTGAGGAAGACATTCAACTTGTTTCACCCTCCTGATGAGACTTCATCAAGTTAAGTTTTTTACTGTACCATAGAGGAGTCCAAAAGGTACAACTGCTATAGTATGAGGTTGGTAAGAGATAAAGCTCAGCTTCTGGCCTGCAGAACTTTTCACCTTCAAATAATCGAAAAGTGCAAGGCAGAAGAATAGCTATCTGTAAAAAGCTAGCACCCGTGATCACTATGTCCAGAAGGACTTGGTCTAAGCTTCCACTTGCCCGCATTGCCTACCTGGCAATATCTTTCTCGATTTGTAACAGTAATCCCATTCCAGGTCCGCCGATAGAAGGAAGTTCAGAATGGGTGCCTGGTGGGCACATCCACGAGGGACTCCAAACCCGCCTTGAAGAAACTTTTGGATTTAATCCGGATTCATGGCATGATTGGAGCATGGAACCTCATAATGAGTTTGACTGGACAGGTCCATCTCAGCTCATGCCCTCGCAAGCTCAGATCAATCGAAATATAGGTAAAATTACATTCTTGCTACCTCAAGATTGTGCAGCTGAACATTTGAGCTAAGTTTTGGTTTTTCTTTTCTCGAAAACACTCGCAAAACATCAAACGATTGCATAGAAAGTGAGCATATACTACTTATCATTTGGATTTAATGAAGTTTTCGATGGCTGTTAATGTAATCATCTTGAGTAGTTGGAACTGATTCCCAATTTGAAACAGGCGATTTGGGCGGAAATTATGATTTAACCAATGGCAATCAACCAAACTTGGCCGTAGTACATTCAATGCTGGAGCCCGGATCTTCAAAAGAAGAACAATACTGTCCAAATCAGAATCAGAATCAAGGTAAGCAGAATATCTGTCCAAGGCAGATCATAAAGTGTATTAAATCGTGAAAATAATAAAGGTGACATTTATTTCAGATGAGGAATTGGAATCAAGCATAGCACACATGGAATCTTCTCAACCTGAAAGTATCACAGAACAGAGTCATGATACTGGGCCAATTTATCATCAAAATAATGATGCAAGAATGTCAGAAATAACTGAACTCCCTGAGGCTGTCAATCAAAAAACCCACCTTGATCAATCTAAAATCCAAATCAAAATAGCTTTGCAGCCTTCAACTCAGGAATTCTTTGATATTCTTGGAAGAAATAAAATAAATCGTGTTCTTGAAAACTCAAATTTGAGCATCTACATGGAGAAGTTTTTGGATAGATATGAAAGTCAAAAGATACATGAACCAGAGATGAAGAAAAACAGTGTGTTGGACTTTACGGATCTTCCGATTCAGATTGTTCGAGGAATTCTTGTTCCTATTGATGAGGCAAGCTGTAAAAGAGTTCATAAAAATGTCATCAGGATCCGCATGAGAAGATTATTTGGTTGGATTACGTTCATGAACACTGCTATATTGAGATACTTAGTCCCAGAGTCAATTATGAAGGACAAATTTATTCAACAAGATGCATTAATTAATTGGTTATTGGATGAACTGTTTTCACCCAAGTCTTGCCTTCCAGTTATTGGTCCAATTTTGAAAAACATGAAAATGGATGAATTGAATTTTAAAGAGGTCCAAGCAAATCTGATCATTTATTTATCAAGTCCCACATCTCATGAACTTGACATTTCAAAATCATGGTCTTTACTTCTTCAATGGTATTCTAACTACCACCCTAGTATATTCAATTTTTTGAAAGGAAGTATTGAAAAGGATGGTCTATCAATTGAAGATTTTATTGTCAAAGCAATTGTATCAAGAATTAAACGTCATCAAGAAACCAAACCATCAACTTCACTCAAAGAAAAGGAATTCAAAGTTGATGTGGGGGATCTTCCCAAGGATGTGATACCAACCAGCTTTTCTCATGAAGCTTCACTGGAGACAGGGATTTTGGAAGGTGGCTTCTCAGATAACATCAAAGAAGTATACCAAAACTTACAACCACATCAATCAAGAATGAAGGTTGAAGGCCTTCCAATTCATTTGGTTTGGAAGTCTCTACCCCATCATCATGTTTCAAATATGGCACCAAGATACATCAGGATCACAAACAAGCTCCAAAAGAGTATTGAAACCAGGATCTTGCTCAAAAAACTGAACAATCTTTGGTTATACTTACACAAGATATCCTTGATTTTGGTGCAACAGATCCAAGCAGAAAAAGGATACAATGATGATCAATTTGCACAAGATTTCCTGCAGAAATGTATGGTTTGGTTTTATGAACAATTATTTGGACCTCAGAACGGTCTCCCAGTCTTTGGAATAGTTGACAACATAAATCTAATAATTGAACCATCAATGTTTGGAGAAATTCAGGTCTCATTGATAAATTACTTCAGCAGCAATGAAGCTTACAAACTTTTACCAGATCTTTCGATTTCATTATTTAGAGATTGGTACAAGACACATAACCAATTTCAATGGGGGATTGTCTTTGAAGATGAAGAATCAATCGGTCCAACAATTATTGCCTTATTAGAGAGGAACCAAAATCATTTTGAAGGATTTCAGTTTAACAGTTCTATGCTTAAGCGGAAATCTGATCCTTCAGAGTTGAAAAAAAAATCAAAAACAAGAAAAACTCAAAAATTAGCAAGAAAGAAATTGCGTGTAGTTTACAACCTTTCCTTGTAGATTTTCTTTCCATCTGCTATTTGTCTCCTTTGGAGATCCAGTTTTAATACAACACTGAATTTCATGTGATGCTGACTTGAGCCATCAACCAGGACTTGGAAGGCTCCCATGATCTTTCAAAAGGGAGCACCCAGGAGGGAATCTTAAGCTCCTGAGTCCTCTTATGTAAGGCAAGAATTTTTCAAGTCAACATTGACACTCATCTATGACCAATTCAGAGCAGAAAAGTTAGAGAGAAAACTAGTAATGTAAGTAACGAGCATACTGTAAGAGATTGCAATCTTTACAGAAGAATTCTTTGGTTGCAATTGGATACATCTAGGACTTCTTAATCCAAGCTTGGACTCTCCATTTGTCTTCTTCTTTTGCTAAGCACTTATCCATCAAAGATACAAACCAAAATAGTGAAATGTAAACAAAGATTGATAATGCCGATGATGTGATTCCCAACGAAGAGAAGGAAAAAAAAGAAAAAAAAGAAATCAACAGAATTGGCCGGCGAGCGAATAAAGAAACCCTCTAAGCAAACACAAAGACCGATTGTTGAAGAAACGAGAGCCAAAGGATAAGTGAGTACCAACGGTAGTAGCAGAAGAAGGAATCAAGATCTGAAGCAAGGCCGCTTTGATTTGAAGCATATCGCACTGTGCGTGTGTTTTCATTTTCATCGACTCGAGTCGGACCTGTAGATCATTGATTGCATGATGTACTAGATCTCTTGTGGTGGTGCTGTCTTCATGTTGGTGGTCCGTTAGATGGGTGATCAAACAGCTCAGATGGACCCATTCGGATCCCTCGAAATCGTAGATCATCATCTCCGATCTCGGGTCATACACTTTCGTACACTTGCATCCAAACTGATCATTTGGTGTTAGATTTATGAATTCCTGCTTTTTTTTTGTGTGTGTAACAACGGTCAGTCATCCACCTGACCAAGAATGTGAGTTTCCAAAAGCAAAAACAAAATAAACACACAAATAGCCCGTTTGACTGTTGTCCAGAGTTTTTACGCGAAAGGGTACGTCTAGGCGGATGGTTCAAGCGCAAATGTAGCCGATAATAAAACCGATCGACGCCGATGGATTGCAGCATATGATTATCATCAATCCTCGAGTGATTGATGGCCTTTTTCTCCAGCGTTTGCCAACAACAACGTTCGAAGATTGGACACTGGTTATTCTGAGGTGACACTTGGTCATCAAACTTATAAATATCTGCTTTGCCTGTTTTTCGATTCCCCGACCCTCTTCAGTAAAGTGACAGAAGAAATGATGTCTTGTGGGAGGATGATAGGGTTACAAACTCCCAATCAAGGTGAGATATTTTTGTGGGGACGAAAACTGACCAGCCAGACTGTTGATGTGGATGATAGTCGAATGATCCGTTCTGATCAATTCTTTGTCTTGGAATCGGAAATCGTTTGATCGGAGTTTGTTTTGGTTGGATCTGAACCCGATCTTTTTCAACTTGCCTACGATCCTATAACAAAAAAGAGAGATTTTGAATCAAAGCCGATGAGTTGATTCTTGTCACATCCTTCCGACGCCAATCAAAGTTTCTTTCCAAGTTTTTTTTTGATCGATTAATGTGACCTACTTTCGGAAGACGGGATTATTTTTCATCGAGTTCTCGAAATCATCGAGTCTATAGAACCATTCCACCTTCAAGAAAACTGCAGTTCGAGGGTCCGTCTCCAGACGATCTTCATCCTCGAAGCTACGCCGTGTCTTGATTTCTTTGATCAACGCCAACCAATATCGTTCGACTTCGAGGTCTTGTTCTGGCCCTTCTTCGTCTCCAATATCTGGTCTAGTTTTCTTCCAAGCGACAACACAATCAGCATTTTAAGTCAAGAACTTTCTTTCAATCAGCCACTAGTTTTTTCTTTCTAAGCATGGATGTTTTTTTTTTTTCCTCACACCACAAAGACTGCATCTCCTTTCCGAAACTTTTGGTGATCAACAACAGCCTGATCTAAGTCCAACAGTCGATTGAATTGCTGATCAGATACGACTTCTTCTGAATGATTAATTTCAACCGATGAATCACGACTGATCGAACCGACTCTTCTCTGGCGGTTGTTGTATTTGGGGGTCTTCTTCTTCTTCTTCATGGGCTGGTTGTGCTGATGATGATTTTTAGAAAATCGATGGACTGAAGATATTAATGTTTTCTGTCTTCTTCGAAGTCCTGTCGATGGTTCTTTGATTGATGGAGGATTATGCTTGGGAATCAAGACCCCAAGGAAATGCGATTTGGCGATTGGTTTTATGGAGCTGTTTTGAGTTGTGATGGGATCCTCAATAGATGGTGTTGGATTGGATGGGCTCGGGTGAGGGTAGGTGTTGAGGGAGCGGTCGAAGAATCGGTTGAGGTTGTTCCTGTTGAGAAGTGGATCCGTGCAGGCAGGAGAGGGTGAGTATTGGGGTTGTTGTTGTTGGGTGATAGTTCTTCTTGAGATCGTATTGGGTACTGTTCTTACCATTCTGGCCGTTCAGTGGTCAGTTGGCGTTTAAAAAAAGGGGAACAAGTCGATCGGGATTGAGTTCAAGCCCGCGAACCTGTCTGAGCCCCTCCGGAGCCCGAAGGAGCCTCCTCCGGGGGACCATGGGGTACGACCGGTTCGGATCAAGCCGGGAAAATAGCTCGGGAGTTACATATGTATGCACCCGAACTCCAAACTCCGAAGTGCGCTCGCCAAAGACGCAGGCCTTGTTTGGCCGTCCATGATCGTCATAAACAATCATGGCAAATATTTCGGGGGTGCACAGCTGAAGACGGGGCCTCACGATGGTGTTTGGGAGGCCACGTCATATCTACTTTCTTTATGATGGAAGTGGTCAGCAAGATATATTCCCTGCCAATTCCAACATCTTGGGTCCCCCAAAATTTCCCGTCAAAAGGCCTCACAGCAAGGTTGAGAAGGATTTTCAGGCTGCGTCATTTGCACAGCCTGGAATCATCAAACCTAGATTCTGATTTAACGACTTGAGACGATGGTCTATTACAATCGTGGACAGCCAAACAAGGCCGCAATTTGGCGACTGCACTAATGCAAATTCCGGATAAGAACACGCCTTCACTCCTTCAAGGCCAAGGGCTGATCCACTGGCAGGTACATAACATCTAGGCCCATGTTAGGATGCTTATAGCCAGTAGTATGCTTCTATCAAAACTCATTTGGATTTAGTGTACAGTGCCTAGACAGTGAAAAGTGGGTGCTTATTTTGGATTCCAGCCAACTGTCACAAGACTCATGCCAGTGACTCTCAGCTCCCAGCCTGGTCCACCTCAACAGCCCAGACGTCCTTAATCCGGAATGTGCCATGGTTCTCTGAGCTCAACTTCAAAATTTGGCACATACATTCTTTAGAACTAAGAGCATCTCCACCATGGGCCTTATTTGTGGGGCCCTATATGCCTCAAATAGGGACCAAAAAGATTGGATATCACCCAAGCTGGTTTTTATTTTCCACTGCTAGTGGTTGTACAGCCTTGTCACAAAGGCTTGCAAAAAATAAAAAAATTGTTGCCAAAAAATATAAATTTGTGAGATTCTTAGTTGTAGCTGTCATAAATGCTGCATTTGCACAAGAAGGTACAGTGGGTGGACTGTTATTTTTGGCTGCTTGTTTTGGATTCCAGAGCTTCATAGAACAAGCTTGAATTCACAAGAATTGGTCAAGTGGTGCAAAATAGGTCCCAGAAAATTAATATGAAAAGTTAAAAATAAAAAAAAAGTTTCAAAATTTGTGAAAAATAAAAAAAGTTTCAAAATTTGTGAAAAATAAAAAATAAAATTGAATTTTTCCTAAAGCTTTGATAATCATTTTGGGAGAGTGGGAGTGCTGAGAGAAGAAACAGTGTACATGGCAAGAATGATTATAAATGAAAACAAATGGAACTAAAAAAGGTTGAGCCAGGTTTAGATCAGATGGCCCTGTGGGACCCTGTTTGTTATGTATAAGATGTTGTAATATTGTGTGTAAGGGTTGGTATAATTGTAAAACCAAAATATTGGGGAGCAAATAATACTGTGGAGTGAGCAGTGATTTGCCTGTTATGTGGGTAAATGAATGCAGGAAGTCTGCTGGGGAGAAATTACAACTGGGAGGAAGCAGTGGTGGGCCGCTACACTACAGCGGCGCTAATAGCTGCTTTTTTTGTAGTGTTAGTGCACCGCTACTGCCGCTGGGCTACACTGATTTGTAGTGGCGCTAACACTGGCCATTTTTTGTGGTAGTGTTAGCACACCTCTGGTGCAGCTACGCTAGAGTGCTTTTAGCTGCAAAAAACACCTAGAAACTGTTGTGACCTAACTAGGTTGCAAATAGTGAGACTCATCTAGACCTATTCATTTCCATCTTTTCATGTATATATATATAGTTGTCACTAAAAATAGACATGAAAAGCATTCATTGTTCTGCAAACTTTGTCTTGAGTTCTATCAAAAACTGCTGTAACACAGCATAGTGGGCACTTCTTTGCACCCTGTGTGCATTAGCGCAGATGCACGGAATCATGCTAGCGTTACACTAAACATTAGTGCAGATGCGCGGAATTGCACTGATGATACACTAAAGATTAGTGCATTTGTGCGCCCTGTGCATGTAGTGTTAGCGCAGAAAGGTAGAAATGCACAAAGAGTGTCCTTTTATAGACAACAATGAGGTATTTTGGGCTCCAGGGGAGACAGGAATGAGGGATTTTGGCCAAGATGGAAGAATACATGAGGCAGTCAATGAGGGTGCCCATAAAGTATCCCACAAAGGTCCCTATATGTGGGATAGGGACCCAATATAGGAACCATGGTGGAGATGCTCTAAGGCCCCATTTGACTGCAAATTATGATATGTTATTTGGCTAAGGTTCGGCATGGATTTGGACAGTGTAATAAGAAACAATATAAAATTTTTGCTTGAACTCACACCAGACCTTGCCTCCAAATTACAAATTACAGACAGCCAAATGGGGCCAAAGTGTATAAATTAAGCTATGTTGCCACAAAACATTGAATACTACAATTTTTCATAATACCAGTCCCTGATCATTGATTCAAACTTATCAGTTCACACAAATTTTCTTCCTTTCCTTCCCTAACGACTATGTATACTGATCAGTCTTTAAGTAGTACTCTATACTTTGTTCAAGAATTTAATAAAATTTGTTTTGCAGGATTACCCAACCACACTCTACAACTAAAAGTAGGTGTGCCAATTGTCTTTTTGTGCAACTTAGGCATAGAACAAAGACTGTTCAATGAAACAAGGACAGTATTGGTAGTCAAGGAGATTAGTCTAAAGGCAATGAACAGTTGCATTTTGACTGGACAATTCATGAAAGACTATATCTGGAAGGTGATTTTTCAGCTCTGTGTATGCTATACTGGTTCCAAGAATATAAAAAACTGCTATCACTGTGCTCATGAAGTACTATCAATTCCACTCTGGTCCAAATATCCACAAATTTGAAGTCCATGTTCTTTTAGGTTTAAATGTTTCCAATGAAACAAATAAAAGGATATTATAATAATTACAAAATTTTTACAGCTTGGAAAGGATGAGCAATAAGTATTTTCAAGGGAAAAGCAGCTGGAAATCTGGTCAGAGGTGGTAATCTTCCAGCAAATTATTTAAAAGGAATTTCAGTGAGGGATGTAAGAGGAATCACAAAGTTACACACTAAGAATTCCAATAGTAAAAGGATGGAGAATATTCACTGTAATTAATAATTGTACTGGGAGTGAATATGCTGAGGAACCAATCTCAGGCCTTATATTCTAGATTCCCCCCCCCTTGGGGGAATTCTCAAGATGTTTTAGAATGTTAATTTAACTTATTAAAATGGCAGTTCTCCCATGATGTAATGGGAATGTTGTAGTGGATTAAATTTAGTATTCTCTATGTCCCCATGACATCATGATGCATTGTTATAGCCAATTGCATCATGTGCCTGCCTTGAATAGAATGATACTGATGGAAATTACCGCACACTTGACAAAGTGTGATAATTTCTACAAGTTGATTTATTGAATTCACTTTTAGTCTTCAATATGTATTTAATAGGGGGTATCAAATATAAGATATCCACCATTAGAAACCAGTCAATTATCCAAAAATATTTTTTTTTCACCAATGGGTCCACAAAGGGGTAGGATGAAGAACTAACATGTTTAAAAAATGGTGGTTTTTTCAAAACCAGTCAATTAAAAAAGGGTGGATTTGGTTATATTTGATACCCCCTATTAGGGGGTATCAAGTATTACCAAATCCAATTTTTGGGCTTTAATAAAAACTTGTTTTTTCCGTGTTTAGAAGCGGTTTAATTTGCTGCACTCAGCACACGTGGATTCTGCGTTTGGACATGTTTTTTTCATATTTATGCAATAGGGGATTTCACAGTTGAGTGCAAGTGACTTTCAAAACATTTTTCAAGTCACTCTGATGCATGGAGATTTGCAAAAATGGATTTCTACTAGCCACATGTAACCTTATAAATTATGGTAGTAATTGGAGCTGAACATGCATACTTTGTTGTGCAGATTGACTTGCAAACCTTTTTGCAAGGCATTTTCACTCAACTCCGAATCCCACTAATTTGCATAGTTTTACACTTAATCTGCAAGGAAATGCAGAATGAATTTGATTCCAAAAAGGCCTATTTGGACGTAAGGTTTTTGGTGAATGTATGGGGATCAGATGAGAACAGACAAGACCTTATCAATTCTCTATCATGAAGAGACAAAGGACAGCAAGCCCCCCTCAAATACTGGATGATGTTCCCCTCCCATGGTTATTTATTAGCTGATACGTACAACAGACCAGTTTTTTCATTTTCATAAAAGATGCTGTCAACTCATCTTCCTCTTTCCCATACTCCCAACAACAACCCTCCTGTCTGCCTGATAATTTTACCTGAGTTTTCCCATTTCATTATTTTCACTTTCAAGGCAACATTAAACTGGGTCAACAAGTCCTGAACCTCCCCGTCAGAAGATCTTCTAGACTTGAAAAAGCTCTGCTTGTTCCTGTAGAATAATTTTTTTCCTTACTTTTCTCCCTGCCTTCCTCTTATTTCCCACTTTTTATTTTAAAATCCACACTCTTTAATCATTCACATTCTTTTGAAAACTACACTATTTTGTATCCACACTCTTTCATAAATACAAACTCTATACAATTTTGGACCATTGGAATGTTATAAATTTTTGTGCCTTTTTTCAGGCAGAAATCCAAGTCAAAAGTCAAATAACCACAAGGGACTTTCCAAATTGATTGCATCAAGAAAATGAGTGATATCAAAAATTCAAAGGAAAAAAAATCATTTTTATGCCAAGTTAATATTAGGGGGTATCAAATATAACCAAATCCACCATTATTTAGTTGACTGGTTTGAAAAAATCCACCCTTTTTTAAACAGGTTGTTTCTCCATTTAACCCCTTTTGGAACCCATTGATGAAAAAAAAAGAATTGTGGAAGGTGACTGGTTTCTAATGGTGGATGTTCTACATTTGATACCCCCCATTACCATAAGTATAGGGAAAAAAACTTAAAATCACATAAAAAATAATGAAAAACAAGCCGTTAAAAATTAGTTGAAAAAGTGAGTGAGCTGAAAAAAATCATTTTTATGCCAAATGAATATTATCATAAAATTACACCTTTCAAAGTGTAGGGAAAAAAAGATTAAAGTCCAAAAAAAAACAGCTGCTGAAAATTGATAAAAAAACTGTTCAAACACGGAAACCGCGTCTGCTGCACGCAGCAAAAACCGTGTGTAGATGTGGAAAAAACCATGTTCTTTTCTTATTAAGGCTAGAGATGGTCTCCGAAAATCTGTTGCGGATACCCGTTATCCGCTGGTGGTATCCACCAGCGGATGTGGATGCCCCCTTTTCCGTGAATTCCCGGCGGATATCAGGGTTTCCCCAAGGATACCCAAGGCCGGCTTGAAGGAAATCCTTCCAGCCAGATGCCTTGCCGCCGATTTAATGGGCGGGTATCTACCCGCTGCGGCCAACAGATACCCGCCAGCGGGTGCGGATGGCAATTTCCCTGGAAAAAGCAGCCGGATATCCGGATGCGCCGGGGCCATCTCTAATTGAGGCCCAATGGTAAATTAGATTTAAAATTAGATGAAGGAATCAGGCAGCAATTATAAACGGCCTTTTTTCTTTTTGAGAAATTTTTGAATTTTGTTTTGATTACTTTGATAATGTTTTTGTTATTATTTTGTTAACCAAAAAAATGACCTCAAAAACATTTCAAACAACCTCCTAGAGGCTGTTTGAAAAGGAAGAAAAAATCAAAATCAGCTTATGTGATATCATTACAGTTCTTATGGGATTCACTACACCCATTATGGGCTGTATCCTGCTGTAGGGCCATACAAAATACAGGCAGTACTTTGAACTAGACCCCAATACAAGATCTCAAATGCAGATATGCAATAAACTGGATGTTTGAGTTTATAATTGCATCATGTTTGAACTTTTTTTGGTTCATTTTTGAATTTCACTTCCTCTTAAATAAATAAAACAAATGACTCTCAAAAAAAAAAAAAAAAAAAAAAAAAAAAAAAAAAACAATCCAAAAACTGTTTATAATTGCTGCCACAGGCCCCTAGCTGTTTACAGAGCTGCCCCTGAACACTAGTTCCACATTGTGTCAAGCAAAAAAACAATTGAGTAATTTTGAACATCATGGACATAAATAGGGGGGTTCACAATAGCTTTTCACCAGAAAGTTTTTATTGTCCCACCAGAAAGGTTTTGCATGCTGTGCAGGTTAAAACTTTAGTCAATTTTTAACATACCAGAAAAGTTGCACCAGAATTGCTGCCATCTGAACGTGTTGGCAATCACTATGTAAGTTCCACATCACCACTCATCACCATTTCAGGTTGGCTGTCAATGGTGTTGATCGGTCAGAACCAGTCATTAATCAATGGTGACAACCGGTCACTCATTGATGATAGTCATCACCAATGGTGATGACCAGTCACTCATTGATGATGATGACTGATGACCAGTCTGGCAGTCGGTCATTGATGGAGTCGACCCGGTCTGTCATCTCATCAATGATGATGACTAGTCATTACCAATGGTGATGACAGGTCACTCATCGATGGTGATGACCAGTCACTCATCAATGATGATGACTAGTCATTACCAATGGTGATGACAGGTCACTCATTGATGGTGATGACTGGTCGGTCATCAATGGAGTCGACCGGTCTGTCAATGATGAAGATGACCGGTTGGTCATTGATGACATGGTGATGACCAATGGTTGTACACTATTGATGACCAATCAATGACCTTGATTGATTGGTCATTGATAAGTAGTGTTTGACCATCCATGACTGATCAATACTGGTGATTGATGCTGGTGAGTATGGCCATTGGTTGATGACCAGCAGTGAGTTATGGATGCTGGTCGTTCATCTTGTCATGCTTTTTAGGCTAAAAACATGACCAGCAAGAATTTTTTTAAGGGGGACCAGAAGCCAAAAAAGCTATTGTGAACCCCCCTAATGAAATCATTCATAATTCACAACAATTACAGGAGAATATTTTTCACAAGTGCAACATTCTCACATAAATGTCTTATGAATAACATTTGTCTGTGTTATAAATAGATAACCAGAGCATGAAATAATACTTTCAATATTGGTATGTAATGCATTTATGGAAAACATTTGTAGATGTGACATATTTTCAGAATAAATCAACCAAGCCATTTATTAAACCTGGAGTAACATCAAGAACAAATGCAAGTGAAACATTGGAAAAGCAGTATTGCTTCCTCATTATATCTTGTTCATTTGAAGCAAATTTTGGAATGAAAAAAAGAAGAATACCACTTCTCAGATTGAATCGTGAGGAATGGGGAGAAGAATCACTTCAATCCCAATTTGTCTCCGTACAATTGTTACACGCTAGAGGAATTCCACTTGATCAGTTATCTCACTCAATCCTTTTCTCCCCAGCGCATCCAGTCAAGCTATAGGCAAATGTTTTAACTCACAAACACGCTGGAAGTTTTGTTCTAACTGGTCAGTCCATGTGCAAATATAGTTGTCTTCCAAATTCCCTTCAATCTCTGCCGCATAGCCTTGAACAACTGTGGAAAAGAAGTATTCAGCATCATGATCGAGTACAGCGTGTGGATAAAACCTATGCAAAGCAACCAGGAAAAACCTACCTATCTTTCTGAGCTCATAGACTACTTCATACTCGCGTGGATAGACCGTGTAACGTTTCGCTGGTTTCTTGCCAAAAGCCTGATCTTTCATACTTACACAACCAGTAAAGTATAAGAACTTGCTGACTAAAAAGTAGGGGCTTCAGTTTCCAACTTGCGTTGTCCAAATCGATGACCGAAATGAGTGTGAAGGATTATGACCGTTCCTGAACTTACGTGGTTTTTCTTCTGGAGTTTGGTCTGGTTGGCCCATGTGACAAGATCCTTGGTCGCAAAGTGACTCGTGGCGGGTGGCATCCTCACAGGCTGTAGTTGCATTGGTACAATAAGAAAGTATACCCAAGTGTAAGTCCAGGCTTCTTCGGATTATTTGAGAACGTAAGACTTACAAACTAGGGTTGCGCCGGACGGTGGTGTGATAACTTTTCCTGCGTAACCGAGGCTACACTGGGTCGGTTCTGGTTTTTGCTTCCAGTCTGGAGTCTTGGGAAAGTGACGGTTGATGATCTTGCCGGGGACATCATCGTTCTGCACAACTTTCGAGCACAGGATGAATGGTAGACAGAAAAGAGCCAATACCCCAGCTAAAAACATGTTGAGAATCGAACGATGAATGGATAGCGTCTTGAAAATGGGGTATCGAGCTCAATGCGGAATGAGATGGACTCCGGGAGGGATATTCAAGCTGGAGAAATGAAGCTCTGTTGACGATAATGAGGTGACTCGCAAACAGGTTTGACAAAACTTCAACACGCCGTGGCCGTGAACATGAGATGAACCTGAGTTGTTTGGCACTCATGAACTCCTTGAGTGGTCCGCACTGTTCAGACTGTTCTCCTACTGATTCAAGAGAAGCCCAAGATACAACATACAGCGCCACAGAGTGACTCCTCATGGTCGTGGATTCATACTCTCTCCTGAGATATGTACACGAAATACCACACACAGAGTATTTACAAAGCTGCACTGCACTTGGCCAACATCACATCATCCTTGAGTAAACTCAGTGGCTGGAGGTGATCATCAGTATACTGACGTGCACCGAAGATTGCACGACTAAATCACTGATACATACGAGTTACCACTGTTATTGACATGTTACTGGTTGACTTTAAACATTCCTGGAGCGGCAGGACATTGGCACACCAGCACACCTCATTGAGGGCAGTTCCGCCGAAAGCCTGACAATGCCTTATGTCACCTGTTCCATGACTTGGGGCCGCAGTTTTGTTGTGTACCTGCCAAGTCACGAAGCTACAAGTCTTCCTGCAAAACTGAATCACGAAGGACACGTGCCACTCTTCCCAAGATGGGCTATCCGCTCGAACGAAGCCTCCTAATTTGTAGGCTACATAGTTACGAAGATGCCACAAAGCATGTCTCCCTCGCCTTGCCCACCCGGCCGCTAAGCAGGACGTTTGCCTCGATTGGCTTGATCCTTTTGCCGCCTGACTACACAGAACCTGATTTTCCCGGGGCCGGACATTAATATTCGGTCATTTACTGATTACAGATTGTTGACTTCCTCTCGAAAATATCAATCTGAATGGAAGGATCTCACATCGCTTAAAATTTCAATAGACCTATTGAGCTCTTCAAAATTGCTTCGAATCTTTTATGTCGGAAATTCTGGGTATTAATTTATAAAGTTTGGGTACAGGTGACATCGAATCCTCAGCATCCTTTTCCCCTGGTATTGCTTCAGCCTCGAACTTCTGTATTTTCTTTGTCGTATTACTGTTACTACTATGTTCCATTCTCCTTCTGTTAAAAATAACCCACAAGTTTACTTCTTGAATGCCATTGCAACTAGCTAGGTTCAAAAGAGGAAAAAACCTGGTTGAGACGAAATGAATAGACATATCAATAATGATAATCATAAGAAATTGAATGAAGGAAATTGAAAACCTGAGTGAAACAAACAAACGTGAAATGCAACTGCACATTCTAGAAGATAAAAGACTGATGGAATACAAGAAGCCCTGTGCAAATAGGTGTCTATGGCTACAAACTGCAGACAGGCATACATACCACATGGACAGTCCAAGGAATCAGTTCATAGATTAGAAGGAGACATTCCATTCATTAGGTCACAGATTCAAGGAGGGAAAACTTTAAATTACAACAAGGGATTCAGTGGGTTTCAGACAAAGGCTTATGGATGAGTGGATGAGTAGGAAAGATTTCCACACTTTCAAAGTTTCTAATTTGATGAAAATGCACCGTTTGATTGAATCTCCAATCAACAGTGGGCCGCTACGCTACACTACGCTATTTGACCACTAACTGTTAGTGTAGTGGCCTTTTTATTTCCTGGAAATTCTGTAGTGTTAGCTGATGCTAAACCCCACTACACTAACTGTTAGTGTAGTGTAAATTTTTCTCTCAAATTTTTTGGTAGTGTTAGCTTCAAATAATCTCAGCTAAACTAACAGTTAGTGTAACTTTTTTTGCGCTAACAAAATTTTGACTGTCAGATAGTGTAACTGATTTAAAGCTAACATTTAGTGTAACTTTTACCAAATTAAGCTACACTACACTACACTACATGCCTAGTTACGCTACGCTACAGTAGAAGTTACACTACACATGTAGTGTAGTGTAAATCATCAATTAGAGAAATTGAAATGTCAAGTGAGAGTTTATGCTCTTGAACCCTCTTCCTCTGCTTTCTGTTTTCAATGGACAAGTTGTGTGAACTGTCCCTATAACTGATACGGCCGAGGTCCATAGTGATTATTTTCAATGTCCTATGATCACACACAATCCCGCAGAAAATGAACAGCATAAGATGTAGAGACAAACAAACGGAGGATGTTCCTGGTGAGATTTGCTACAGACCCTTGTGGTTGTAAGGTTAGTTGGGTGGTAGTTGCCATGGTTCATGCCAACAGCTCCACCACACTCTGGTGATACATCATGGTTACACCTCAACCCCTCCCCCCTTGCTACATGATGTGAAAGTGGAAATTGAACAAGTGTGGGAATGGAACCCAGTAAAGTATGATCTGAGGGGGAATTGAACCCATAATCTCAAGGTAGTCTGACAGGGGAATGTGGTCTTACAAGTAAGTGTTAAAAATTGGCAGGGGGCTAAAATTGAGTGGCCACCATTACTGACTGAAAAAATCATGATCAATTAAGGGGATCTGGATGTAGGCCCCCCAATCAGGCACTGTCTTCAGGGTAGACTAATTCTCGTCATGTGGTCATGTAACTTTTAATCAGTTACGCTAACAGTTAGTGTAACTTTTTCACCAGTTACACTAACAGTTAGTGTAACTTTTTCACCAGTTACACTAACAGTTAGTGTAACTTTTTCACCAGTTACGCTAACAGTTAGTGTAACTGAGGGTACCACTACGC